GACTCAGGTAGGATTACTCTTGAAAGTATACCTTAAAGAACTGAAAAGTTTTCATAAATGGAAGGCGATGTTCTGCAGGTGGACACAGAARGGATGCAGATTTTCTCACCTTCATGTGTGATATGCCAATAAAATTAGGGATAAAACTCCATTTTCATTACACCACTTGCATTCAGATGGTAGAAACAAGGTAAGACACTGAGCTAGTAGTGCCTTTGAATCACACATTTTCATTCAGGCCCATCTATATTAATAGGACTGCTTTTTCTGTTCTTTAATGGCTCAAACTTAACCAACAGAGCAGAATGTTGGTATGCAAATGGCTTCTAGAAAGCAAATGCTCCATAAACAAGCCCCCATTCCATATCACTTACATCCGAGAAATACATCCCATTAGGTCAGGACAGAAAAAAGACAGAATAAGCTCAAAACATACTGCTAGTCCTGAAATCCATACTGCYGTTCTTCCTAATTATTCTTCTAGCTGCAGACATCATTAGTTGCAAATGTCTCTTTCCCTGGAGTACAGAAATGAGAAGCAAGTCTTCTTTGAACAAGAGCAAAAACATAACTGTATACGAATGATGTTTTCTTTGTGAATTCCATCTTGATGACCTGACAGCATTTCCATAAGCACTTTCTTTTTTCTCTCTAATCTTCTGTTGGGAAAACAATATTACTGAATGGGCTTGAAGGCATTAATGGGCTTGAAGGCAATTCTTCCTGGGAAGCCACACAGCTCCCTTGAAAGAGATACAGTGAGATAGAGACACAGAGGGAGAGATAAGTAAGTACAGTTCTGTTGTACAGGTTGGAACAATAATAACCGCATTGCATTTATAATGTATTTCTTGTTTCTGTACAGCCTCAGCTCTAAAAATGTTGTGCTAGGGGCATGGAAACATCTAAGCATCTCTCAGTAAGGTCTCTAAGCTTGTAGTTTTTAATCCTGTCCTTATTTTCTGCTGCTTACTGTCTTTCCAGAAATGGAGCGAAAATATTTTACCAGGAAGAAGAAAAAAAAAAAAAATGCAATTCTAGCTGGAAATGACAATTTTAGAAGCCCACACTTCAGAGGCAAAAATATTAGCCTCCCAGAAAAAAAAAATCCATTCACTTGGAAAATTTCACTTGATGTTTTGAAGTCTGGTTCTATTTTGAATAGTCAGACTGTGTACAGTGGTCTGAGCCTTTTCTTAAAATCACTTTAGCTATTAAAATCCCGATGCAAAAGACCTGAGAGATTTTTTCATTGCTTCTCCAGTTATAGAAAATGAAGATGAGTTCCTCATTCTCTAAAGAAAAGCATCACTAAATTGCCCTAATATCTTGCAGACCATCTTACAATTCTTACAAGCTCTGACTTCATGACAAAATTAACAAAGGCAATTTTTAGGAAAAAAAAAAAAACAGGGATCATGCAGCATAAGATATACTTTATTTCTTTGACATGCATAGTTTACTTTTAATTATTCCTTTTGCTTTACAGTACATTAATAAATGCTCTGGAGTATATTTAGTGTAAGTAATGAAATCTTAGTAATACAGGGCTTCACTACAAGCTTCTGATGCTTGCAGACAAAGAGGCAGAGACCTTGGGGGAGATTTTGTTCATGAATGACGCCTCCATGAAAATCAGCAGCCTGTAAATTAATGAGGTTCTCCCAGAAGGGGAGATTCTGCTCAGCTTATCTGAGCTTTCTGAACTGCGGCAACCATTGCCGAACTCATACAAGTCTTCTTCAAGATTCAGTTGAGAAAGGTACAAAGACATCTTCATCCCACCCTAAAATCAGGAATCACCTTTCAAAGGTGACTCCTGGACCTTCGTGTGGCTTTCTGAGCAGTCCCACAGGTCTGTGCATCACATAGCAATACTTCTCCTCAGCCCAGCATAAGGCTCTGCCCTGCGAGGCAGTGACAGCTTCGTATCCTCAAGAAGACAAGGGAAGAACAGGAAGACGGACTGCGAAGGAAGCAGAAAATAGCTTGGCTYTGATTTTAGATCCAAAGAAGGGATCCAAGGAGGGGAGGAACACACTAAAGTGACTGTTGCTGGCAATTTAGAGATGCCATCCATGCAATAGCATCTCAGGCTGTCCTCCCTCACCAGCAATTACAGGATGACCTATAGTAGGAGGGAGACAAACTGCAGTGGCAGGAGAAAAATGAAAAGGAGATAGAGAACAAGCTGGAGAAAACTCTGCAGCTGAATTTYTTGCTATAAGAGAAATAAATTACAGCCTTCCTCTTAAGGCAATCAATGAGACACTGAAGCCAAAATAGAAACTGAGGCTGGATAGTGCCAGCACTAGGTACACCAACCTGCTGGTCCKTGTGCTGGCACCTTTGAACCAGTGCGATGGAAGAGCTGGAGATACCTCGGTGGATGATGGAGGATGGACCTGCAGCTTAATGGGCATTCTTTGGCAGCGCAGTTCTCTCTGCACCAGCTTGSCGGACTTAAATTAATTAGTTCTTTTGCTGAGATGAGCCAGACTTGTATTTCAGAGTGAAAGGGCACCTTTTAAATCTCTGTAGGTTATATTTCATTATCCTGGGGATATATTTCATTCTAATATTATCCACTGAAAGCTTAGGCCCTTAGTGTTTGTAAAGCACTCAGCACAATGAGGCTGTGGTCCATGAATAGGTATCCTAGAAGCTACCACAGGCCAGCAGCAMTAGCAACGTTACAAGCTAATATTTCTTAAATGGGTTTCTGAATTCAAAGGAAAAACTAAGTTGATAACCTAAAATTCTGCTAAAATACTTTCTACTAGTTTCCCTAAGGAACTCCAACTACTTCTCTCCAAGGAATGCAGGAGCCTTTCTGTGACACTTGCTCACTCTCCCATGACAAGTCTATGAATGAGACAATACAGTCAATTATCTGACWGAAGAATATCCACCTTCTTCCTCATCAAGCAATTTAATCTGATTTCTTGAACCACATAAGCATCAACCCTTACTAACTGCAGGTAAAATCAGTCAYAGACATAAGGCAGTCACTGAAGATGAGCTCTGGGCAGAGACTGTTTTACACTACATATCTTCCAATGCAGCAAAGCGTATCTATGTGAAAAAATACAAAATAAAGCAACTGTCCTAACTGCAGCATGCTTGAGAGCAATCACATTAGAAAATCATTTACCGTGTCTGGCATCTGCCAGTTTTGTACCAATTAGGAGGTAGGAGATTAAGATTTGGTTCCATGATATCTACTGGTATTTTATTTCTTGTCGGTATTTCTCATGCAAACAACCAGGAAACGCCTCTTCTCACAATTTATTTCACTGAGAAATGGACCTGGCTAATATCTCCAGCACATGTTATCGCATCAGATAGACTGCAGTTTGGGGARGGCTTGGAAGGGAAGCGATAGTGGTGAGTAAAGACACTTTGCCTTCAGCTTTTGGAGAGAAAATGTGTGTTTGAAGCTGAAATTACATGTAGCGCTTCATTGCACAATATTCCTTATTCTATTCCAACATTTAACATGATTTTCATGACCTGAAACACATTTATAGGAGACAGTATGCTTTTTTCCYTGCTTCTGATGTTCAACTAATTATGTTTAAAGCTGATATTTTTTTKGCTGTCCTTTATAGAACTTTTAGCAATAAAAATATTGCATAACAAAATAATCTTAAACTGAGAAAAAAAAAAAAAAGTTAAACAAGGAGCAGGCATCTCCTCCTCCATGGAAGAATCTAGCACCGAAGGGCCAGACTCACACACTGAGAATGGCCATAGAGCCAAATCTTGCTCTTCTACATAAAACCTGTTTGTGTAGCAAGCCTAATAAAGCCTACATAAAGCCTGCTGTAGCAGACCTAAGGCTAAAATCTGCTAAACAGCAGGCATGGATTTACATGTCCTGGAAAGCAACCAGCTCCCTTCCCTCCTTCCCTATGCACGTCCCTCTCAAATATGTGGCTCTGGAGGAAGAAGTGACACTGGAACAGATATGAGGCTAGGAAATACTGTGCATTAATTAGAACAGCCCTAGCAGACTGTGGTGTCTCACAGCCACTCATGCTACGTAACAGCTCTCATCCAAACAGCATCCTTCCTAGAGCAGCTCTTTCGGTCATATACCCGGCACAAATAAGGTCCTCCAGTTTTTTGTTTTCCTGTCCTCAGACTACAGACCATCTTCAAAGACTTGGATCTTACAGTGAAGATACTTGTTGAGATAGGAAAAGGAAACAAAACACTGTTTTCCGTAGTAAGAAAGGATAATAATGTCAAGGTTAGCTGTGCCTGGCGTCTGGAAGTGCTCATCACAGCAGCATCTTCTGTTTCCCAGTCCCCCCATGACTGTACATATATGGTCCCATGACCATATATATGTCCTCTACAGAACTATACATATTTCACACAATGTCAAACACCAATGGAACTTTGCCTTCTAGACACCTACATAATTATCAGTGGCTTATTAAAGCCACTACTCCAACTGCCCTAGTACTTTATTCGTCACTGTGCAGCCTCCATGGCAGAACAAAGATCTCGACAATATGACGGTGTGCAGTTACCTCTAATGCCCTGTCCTCTCACCTCTTCCCAATCACCATCTCCAGACATTTTGKCTTTGTTGGCTGTGCCCATTGCCCTGATACCCCATGCAGCCTCTCTAACAGGCTTGATCAAATGTGGACATGGAGGAGGTGGTCTGTTCTTTATACCCCCCACTGGAGAAAAGATGAACCCAGGATGTTATTGATTAAATGTTGTTCAGTGACTCATTTGTTTAACAAAATTCAGTAGCAGGGTAAGAAATTTGCTTGACTCACACAAAGCTAATAATGTGTCCAGTATAAACATAGCATCAGCTCCTGTGACTTTTGGGAATATTAATGGAGCAAATAACTTTGGGGGGATTATTTTTAAATGGTATTTAAGCCATCTCCTATTTGGTATTAAAGGCAAATAAGAGACAGACTAAAATTCAGAGGCTTTCAAATCTTTGCTTTAAATTCAATAAAGAAATGAAAGAGTAAAAGAACAAGCATAGGATATACAGTTAAGCTTAAAAGCTTTGCATAAAAGCATAATATAGCATTATATTATTGTATTACAATATGGTAGTAGATAGGTACAATCCCTGAGTCAGGAAAACTGAAGAACTTCCTCTGTCAGTAGTTTTTGTTATCAGCTGCCCCAAATACTAAAAAAAAAAAAAAAAGAAAAGAAAAAAGAAAAAAAAAGAAACTGCATGGACTGTAAAGCCACATGGTTTAAAGCAGGTTAAAGTAGGCAATTACTTCCCCCAGGATATACTAGGACTGGGTTGTGCCCCCATCTGCAGCAAGAATAATCGTACAGTTTTACATTTATATCTGTCAYTTCTTATACCTTATTCCAGGCAGAAAAGAAAAACAAGTCTGAGTAAATCCCCTCCAGTTCATAATTTAGAAATATATTATATGTTCATTGCATGCTCAGTAAGAGGATTCCAGTGTAGCCAGATTGCTCTTACCATCCTTTGATGAACAAGTCAAGGATTAAGTAACTCAGATCTCAGGATTTCTACTTTCTAATTCTGCCCAGCAATTTATTTTACATCATAATCTTATTTCTGTGCCACAAAGAGAGCATGTGTATAGGTCAACAATAAGGCAAGTGTCAGAGATGACTTTCCATGATAGACCACGGGCCTTGTGAAATCACTTGGTTCAACTCACTACGGAAAAATTGGCCGGCGTGGTCTCCAAAGAAAGCTGTGACTCACAATATTTTATCTTCAACGCCTGGATATGACTTAGCATTGAATTCATACCCACCAAGACATAGTAATAACAAGGCAGATGTCTTATATAGCTGTGTTTTTTTCTGTCTGGCCTTCACAGAGCTCTTATTTATTTATTTATTTGCCCTATACAATTACATATGAAGAGGTAAACTGGACCAGTTTGAATTCTCCCAATTGTTGAGTGTAGACAGGTACTGAGACACCTAAATGACCTGTAGGAGAGAGGGATTAAATTCCCCTGAAGGTAAAATGTACCTTGTAATGCCAGGTAAAGACACAATATGACTGAAGAGTTGATACCAAATTCCAGGCTCCCTGGTTGCCATGATACCTGACTGATAATCCTGTCATTTCCCCTGTTTAAATCTAAGGCTTGTTGCTCACCTTCATCAGCACTGATATAATTTTCGTTTTCTTCACTTCACTTAGGAAATAACTTCAGCATTTATCACACCTCTCACCGCACATAGGTGTAGACCTTGAAAATCCTGCTGTTCCCAGAGGATCTAAATGTGTTTTGAACAGCAACTCACTGGCATTCAACCTGAAAGGCAAGTGGAAATTATGGGCACCAGGAATAACTGTAACACTAGCATTTTGCATGTGTGTGGCCACCCTGGTCCAATCAAAGAATGATCACTGATTACCATAATCTTACTGCCTGCCCTGAAACAAGCAGGGGTGTAGCATCATTTCTGCTTCAAAGAGAGGGAGAATAAACAACAGAAAATGATTTCTGGTGTATCATAAATCTGTGTTAATGCTGCGATTGCAATCTAAATTGTGAAAGTTTTTATTCCATGCTAATACAAAAAAAAAAATTCAAAAAAATAGAAACAGTAAAGAAATTGTCGTCACTAATATATAGCTTACAGTATCTTAATATAAAATTTGAGAATAAGTAAAAAATTTTCATAATGACTATTAAAGAAAGACCATAAGGAGGAGTAGAAGCTAGGATTTTTTTTTCAGTGCTTCAAAAGCCCTAGAGTATTGGCAAAAAAGAGATTCCAGAAGGATGTGTCATGTAACACAGAACGTGGGGCGGTTAGGGAAGTCCATGATAGCTGAATCAGTGGGCAGGCTAGAGATCATCTATTATTTGGCRGGTTTTGTGGTTTTCATACCAGAGACAGGATGATCCCCACTGCAAGAAGCCRCCTTTATGAAGCTTTGGCAACAGAGAAAAGACAGAAGTGTAGGGAGTTGCATGCAGACTTCCACCATGTACAGCATCTTCCTTTGGGACCGACAGATCTGGTCTGCAATTGTCCCTAAAGATATGATCAACAAGCACCCACACCTGTTGATATAGAAAGGCTGAATGATTTGCACAGCACAGAATAATTTAACTCACCTCTGATGCCTTTTATGCATGAGATAGACAGACTTTCTCTTCTGGCACTCTTTGCATGGAGCTGAGAACTGCTGTCTTGCCGGGCAAGTTGCTCTCTATCTTGCCATACACCTATATTGTGTGATACTTCATCATTTGCTAAAGCCCAAAATCAGGAGGACACCAAGAATCCCTGAGAAGAGGATCTGTAAGTCAATTGTTTCAGTTAAATATCAAGTACAGAATTAATGAGGCTTCCAGGAGCTCCTGCCAGGCATTCATGCAATGACCTACACCCTCCATAGAGGCAGAGCCAAAGCAAGCTCAAATAGCACTTGATGTGTATGCTTTGATGGTCATGTGGGACCCWGAGGTCTCTATCTGAGTCACAGGCAAGATTGTCTCCTATGCAGAGGAGAAGCAATACAAGCTAGAGCTAAAAATACCCTCTGCATCCCCTCATTTCAAAGCTCCTCTGAATCAGATACACTAGTCTGGCTGCTCATTTCCCTTGCTCTCTTTTTTTTCTTACCCAATTAGCACCTCATTAACCAACTACCTACAGCGCCTCTAGCCTCAGCCTTTTTTAGTCTCTCATTACATGACACACAGCTTGACAGTCATCACTGTGGGGGGTTCTGCAGATGTTCTGCAGAAAAATCCAGTTCCTCCAGTCATGACCCTTTTTGCTCTTGGAGATGGTCTCTTGGTTATGGGGTTTGTACATCTGCAAACAGCTGCAGGCAAGATAATCCATTTGGGGATTGTAGCTTCTTGACTATTGAAGTGAAGCCACCTCTGCAGTGGAAAGCGAGACCTGTCCCCCAACCCTCTCAAGAGCTGTGCAGATAGAGCKAATGACTGGGAATGCAGTCAGTCAAAGTGGGGTCCGAAAAACATTACTGCCAAACTTTAAGTAYGCAAATCTAAAGGACATGGTTAAGGATGCACCTCTGGCCACACAGATATCCTCTACCCAGTTTACTGCAGAAAGGTGGACCTGAGCTCTGTAGAAAGATGGCCCTGATAACCAGAATATCGGGGAGTCATTCTTGACTCCATTCTCAGACCTGGGATACATCTTTCCATTTCTTAATACCTTCATTTTCCAATTCATCTTTCTTTTTTCGCTCCTCTATTCAGACTGACCCTTACTGCACAAATTTATAACCCTTTAGTTTTTATTGGACCATCGAAATGCTATCTTTTAGGAACATAAAACAGGATAACTTGTCATGTTGGGTGAAATGCTGATAGYGAGCACATTTCATCATTGTGCAGGCATTTTGAGACAAAATGGGCCAAGTTCTGGAGAGTTTCTTGGGTTAAAATGTGTCAAAGGTCTTTGTTCTTCTCTTTCTCTTCTCTTTTCGGAAAGAAATGCAAGGTATAGCCCTTGAAATAAACAACCTGAGATCTGTGCCTGCTGTGTGCTTGCTGAGCTTCCATGATCTGTCATCAACTGTCCCAGAAATCATACAATTAGACTGAGAGAATGAGAAAGCCTAAAGCTCACAGATGTGTGACAGCCGTCAATGACTTTTAAGGCCCCATGTGGGAACATTCTCATATATCACTGCACATAGCAATCACAGGAGACCAGTCTGTAWGGCACAGCAGACCAGCAGAGCCACCTCCATTTCACAGGAAGACCCCAATCCATACGCACATTCTGCATTGGCATTTGTTATAAATTGCTTCTCAGAGAGGAGCTGCTTGGAGAAGCATCAGGCATAAACCTGTTGCTATTTGACTTATGCACCTCAAGAGACAGTAAGACATGCTACACTAAAATGATGGCTCTGAATTCATTGTCAAACTGAATTCAAAGTCCTCTCCTTCCTCCTAAACAACTCCAGGTTGTTATACCTTCAAAGTCTGACCCCAAACATTGAGTTAGTGGACTCTAGACCTCCAGAGCTTCATCCCATCCATATCTGGCCATGTCCATGTAGGAACACAGGATTTTCTTCTTGCTGAAGCCTATACATAGCAGCTGTTTTCTGAGGCAAATTCTCRAGGGAAAAAAAATACAAGTTGGAAATCAAAGAAGAGAAAAATAGATGAATGGAGAATAAAAGTAAAACAGGATAACATTTAATAAAACATTATTTAATTGAAAGAAAGCTGACAGTATCTTATAGTCACGGAGTTGTTACTTTACAAAATTGGTTCTTGGGGATCTTAGAAACACAATAAATCAAAATATGATATTACAGCCACCTGGGAAAATATTATTAGAACAGATGCTGGTGTAAATCCATGTAAAATGGCCCATTTACACTGGCTAAGCTACATCACAGTACTGAGAATCACAGGAGTAAAGAAAATCCTTGACAGCACAAAATGGGAATTTCCCCTCAATAACAAACATTTCTTCGCTRCCCCCACGCACAAGGTAGCTAACCTGAGAGCTGATTACAACAAGTTATGAATAATGTATTAGAGCATGAAATATTCAGGAGAATATGGGTTAATAATGCCAGTACAAACCAGGACAGACAGCGCTGCATCCATCATTTGCTTATGTTCAGCCTTGAGCCAGATCAGAGTAAGAGACACAAGATAAATGACAAACAGCCAGAGAGGTTCATAGTTAAAAACATGATAACTTAGCACACTCTTCCACTGGTGCTGAGCTGGAAAGGAGCTAGAAGATGATTTATAGACATTATCTTGTTTTATTTTTGTTTAAAAGCTTGGCAGTGGAGAGTGAAGCGATGCTGAGAAGGACCATGCAGCGTGCCAGTAGAACACTTGACATATTCTAAAATAGAGCTAGCAAATGTGTGTCCAGCCTGTTAAGCAAGGTAGTGAGCAGGGAGAGAAATGGTCATTAACTGGACAGTCTTCGGCTGCTGCTGTCACCTCTGTGGGATGTAAAAGAGGAGGAAAAACAGTGAAACAGGGTGGTGTTGAAGGCACCACAAAGTCAGAGTTTTCTCTCTGTGCATCAAACATGGATTTTACAGGTAAAATCCCTACAGCATGCAACCAGTGTACTAAGCTGGAGAATTTGTATCATGGCCTTTGAGATCCTTGCTGATTGTTGGGGTAAAATCTGTGTGCCCCAGCATCTGGTCAGGGATTGTGTTTGACAGGCTGCTTAAGGAAAATGAGAGGAAAAGAAAGCAAGTTTGGCATCAGGCAGATCAATCTACCAGTAGGACTTTTCAAGGTTTATTTTGGCCCCACGAATCAACTCTTTGTTGGTTTCCTTTAAAATAATCCACATAAACTTTCAGGCCCCCAACTCATCTTAGAAAAATATCTCAAAAAGCAATATAGATCTTAGAAAGTCCATTGTACAATGGGATCGGTAGTAACCTTCATGACTGAGGATGCTGRGGAGTAGCTAGGGAGAAGGCATCAGCCTAGGACTCACAGTCAGAGCACAGAGAGGTGTGAGGAGTGGGAAAAAGGTGCTTTGACCTCCTGCTCATCTCAGGGTCTGGCACCGGGGCAAGACTAGGATAGGAGGGCACTGCAGAACTGGGGGAGGAATCTGTGAGGATGAGGATGTCATATATTTTTAAGCCTCAAGAAGATTTTATATGGAGTAATACAAAAGCCTGTTTTCTGAAGCTGAAGCCTGCTGGGTATTTTAATGCTATTATTATTTAGAAAAGAAAAAGAAATCCGAAAAAAAATCTGAGTTTAAACWCCCCAATTTATCTTATTCTGTACAAATAAAGCAAGGGTTTACATAAATTCCTTATTTTCTCTAGAAGTGTCATCTGGCTTTGCTTTTTATTAAATATTAATACATTTGTCCAGGGAAAAAAATTAAATTCCTTCCTTGGCAAATCTTCCGGAAGTAGAAAGTTAAACTGGAAAAATCAGAGCTAGTATTGTCTTCTGGGGAATCTCATCAGTGCAGATCCCTTTTCTGGGCTAACTTTCATTACATGAAAGCTTTTCTCTACTTTCAGAGCCAAAATAGAGAAGTAGTGAAACAATAAAGGGAGGACCAACCAAGAAATTACAGCTAATCCTCCCTCTGCACTGGGGCTAGGGGGAAGCAAAGGAGGTCATGATGTTATCTGCGAAACTTTGCTRCTTTCTTATTCTGTGACTTTTATCTGGACCTAGTGCCATGGGCTCCTTTCCTTCAACTCCCCCCTGCT